TACATAAAATAAATATAAGAAGACTCTGAAAGGTAGAAAGAGGAAGGCAGTCTATCTAGGGATCCCAGAACCCAAAGAACAACATGAGACTGAGTTTCCTGGGTTTTTCTTTGCTTCATATATCCCAGATTGAGTGCCAAGGAAGCTGGCAACTCAGAAATGCAAATGGACACAGATTTTTAAAAAGCCCCAAGTCAAGGTTTCTCTCTCTTACCAAAGGACCAGGAAAGGGGGCATCTAGCAAGACAGAAACTTTTAGACAATAATCATTCTACTGCAATAACCATTCTAGTCCAGCCAAACAATAGGAAACACTGGGGCCCCATCTCCCATTCACGTCAGGAAATGCCTAGAAGAGAGCCTTATACCTTTGCTGGGCTATAAAAAGGGGCCTAACCCCACCAGAGAAGGAAGCTGAGTAGGGAGCCCCACCTTCCCTCACCATTAAATGGTAATAATCATACACCATCAACTAGTCAGTAAAGTCTACATACAGAACCTTCACTTCCACCCCCACCTGCAGTAACAAGGTTCCCTTTCCATTCCCCACTGCGGTAGTATCACAGGAAGTGTGGTGAAGAGTTGGGTCTTTCACCACTGTGCGACAGCAATGAGGACATCCTCCACTGTGGTGTCAATGAGGCCATATGGGAAACAGTGCTGAGGTAAGTGGACCCTTTCCAGCAAAAGAGCTATCAGTGGACATGTAGTGAGGAGCCAGAACTCTAAGCCAGTGTAACATGGATCCCCCACCTTGGGTGTCAAGAGAATCCAAGTGGAGAACCTAGACTTCCACCATCAACTGGCAGTAACAAGATGACACCCCCACCCCTGCTGAAGTTGTGTCAGAGGAGGCCTGCTAAAAAATAAGATTTAAATCTTATCCAGATCCAGAGTCTCATAAAATAATACCCAACATGTCTAGTGTCAATCAAAAATCACTCATCATAATAAGAACCAAGAAATCTCAATTTGACTGAGAAAATACAAACAATAGACAGCAGCACTGAAATAAATTAGGTATTGAAATTACCTGACAAGGATTTTTAAAGTAGCTATGGTATAAACTAAAGGTTTGTGTCTCCCCAAAATGCATACATATGTTAAAGCCCCTACTCCCAATGTGATGGTAGAGCCTTTGGAAGGTAATTAGGTTTAGATGAGGTCATGAAGGTAGAGCTCCCACGATGGGGATTAGTATCTTTATATTAATAAGACGAGACACAAGAGCTTCTGCTCTTGGCCATGTGAATATACAGTGAGAAGGTAGACATCTGCAAGCGAGGAAGAGGTTCCTCACCAAGAACCAAATCTGCCAGCACCTTGATCTTGGACTTCTCAGATTCCAGAACCATGAGAAATAAATGTCTCTTATTTAAGTCACCCAGTCTATGGTACTCTGTCATAGCAGCATGAGCTAAGACAAGCCATCATAAAAATGCTTCAACAATCAATTACAAATCCTCTTGAAACAAATGGAAAAACAGAAAATCTCAGAAAGGAAACAGAAGTTATAAAAAAGAACCAAATGAAAATTATAGCACTGAAAAATGCAATAACAAATTTTTTTAAAAACTCAGTAGATGGGCTCAATAGTAGACCATGACATGACAGAGGACAGAATCAGTGAACTTGAAGATACATCAATAGAATTCACTTAATCTGAACAAAAGAAATAAAACGGACTAGAAAAAATTGAAAAGAGCCTTCGGGACCTGTGAGAAAATACAAAGACCCAACATTCATATCAGAATTCTAGGAGAAGGAGGATAGTGAGGCTAAAAGAGTATTTGAAGAAATAATAGCTGAAAAGATCCCAAATTTGGTGAAAGACACAAACCCACATATCTAATAAGCTGAGAAAGCCCCAAAAAGAATAAACCCAAATAAATCCACATCAAGACCCACCATGATGAAACTTTCAAAAACTAAAGATATAGAAAAAAATCTTGAAAACACCCAGAGGAAAATGGACACCTTACCTATAGGTTAACACCAATTTGAGTGACAGCAGATTTCTCCTCTAAAACCACAGAGACTAAAGTATCAAAATATTTTTCAAGTGCTAAAAGAAAAGAACTGTTATCCATGAATTCTATATCCAGAAAAACTATCCTTCAAGAATGAAAGAGAAAAAAAAAAAATTCTAAGCTGAAGAAAAAGTAAGAGAATTTGTTGCTAGCAGACTTACCCTTACAGATTGGCTAATATAAGTTCTTCAAACAGAAAGGAAATTATATTAGTTTCCTAGGGCTACCAGAACATAAAACTGGATGGCTTAAAACAAGAGAAATGTATTGTCTCATAGTCTGGAGGCTAAAAGCCCAAAATCACGGTGTTGGCAGGGCCATGATCCCCCTGAAACCTGCAGGGGAGCCTTCCTTGGTGTTTCTTAGCTTCTGGTCTTTGCCAGCAATCCTTGGTGTTCCATAGCTTGCAGCTGCAGTACATCAATCTCTGCTTCCCTCATCACATGGTGTTCTCTCCTCATGTTTCTGTGTGTCTCTTCTTTTCTTATAAGGACACCACTCATACTGGAATAAGGGCCCATCCTGTTCCAGTATGATCTCATCTTAACTAATTACATCTGCAACAACCCCATTTCCAAAGAAGGTCACATTCTCAGATACTGGTGGTTTGGACTTTAAGATGTTTTTTGGGGAGATATAATTCAACCCATATAAAAAATTACCAAAAAAAAGTTTACATACTGTATAATTCTTTCTATATAACATTCTTGAAATGACAAAATTAGAGATGGAGAACACATTTGTGGTTGCCAGGAGTTAGGAATGGTGGGGAGAGGAAAAAGGTGTGACTATAAAAGGATAGTAGTAGGAAGATCTTTGTGGTGATGAAGATTTATCTTAATTGTTGTGGTAGTTACATGAATCTATACACGGGATAAAATGACAAATAACTACATACACATTGTGCCAATGTCAATTTCTTTGGTTTTGATATTATACTATAGTTCCTTAAGATGTAACCATTGAGCAAACTGGGTGAGAGGTACATGGAACCTATTATCTTTCCAATTTCCTGTGAACTGTAATTATTCCAAAATAAAAAGTTAAATAATAAGAAAGTAAAAATTAAGTGACAATTACAGGCTAACAATTTAAATTTTCTGTAGATAACCCAAAGTTTTTCCTCATAAAGATTTTTTAATAGAGATTTCTGTACTCTAAGCAACTAGTTTACATGATGACAGTAAAACAGTTGTTCTACTATGTGAAGAGACAAAAAAAAGTAAGAACCTAGAGGGCAACAATCAAGTGCCCCTAGAACTTGCACAGTAAGTGAACCCATGAGGATTAGACTAGCAAAATTAGCCTGTGACACACGAGTCTGCACAACAGTATTGTAGGCCAGTAAATCTCCCAAATTAAGTCAGAAGAACCAGGCCCTGGATCTTATTAAGATAACACTAAATAAAAAAGAAAGCAGTAGGCTAACAATGGTAATATACAGGAAGAAAAACTGAGCCAGCCAGAAATCTAGAGACAGTGAAGGCAAAAATCAAGAAGCCGGCAGTACCGAACTCATCCAGCATTGCTCAGAAGCTGGCAACAGACACCAAGATCTGGCTCATTTCAGAGCTCTGCTCTTTGCGGGGGTCCAGATGGTTTACAGGTTTTCTGTTTCTCTCAGAACTATTACAACTCCCCTTATTCTTGTTGTACATTTACCAAGAAATCTTCTAATAACCAATTCCATCTTTACTTTAACACTGTCTGTTATGGTATTGGAAAAGTATCTTCTTAGTGTGAATTAACTACCTGACATTCTGGTCAGTCCCTCATGAGTATCAGTTTTTATATTTAAGTCAGTCCCTAAAGCCGAATTAACTCTGGGTATACTAAGACAAGTTTCTATAATAGATTTGTACAGTTAAGGACCATATCCTAAATCAAGAAGGCACACTTTGAGCCTAGCCAGTTGGCCTCTCTCTAAGGTACCTCTATCTTGTTCTCTCACTTTACATGTAATAAATGAGCCTTGCAAATAGCTCTCCAAAATCCTATTCAACTCACAGAATTCAAAACAGACCTACTTTTATCTGCCAGGGCCATTCTCCTTCCCCTCCTACTCACTGCTATCTAAAATCATTCTCCAAAATGCATATTCTACATATAGCATCTATCATAAACACAGATTCCTATCAAATACGATGAAAGAGCAAAACGAGCAAAGCAGAATATATTTCTTTATCCAACACTGGAAATTGCAAGTTCATGATTTCATTTCTGCTGGTCAGCCCTGAGTCCTAAAGCCTTAGGTATATGAAACACCACTCTACGATCCTGCTAAATTCTGCTTTAATAAAGTTCCACAACTGTGCTATTTTGAAAATATCTAAAAGTGAAAGGTGATCGCAATATTCTTGACAACGATAACCATAAGCAACAACAAAAAAAATTCCTACGAATTCGTCCATTTACATTTGGTTACTGCTTAATTTTCAAGACGTTACAGGAATCCATATTCTGAAACGTGATAAATGGAAAACCTAAAAAGGGCACAGCTAGCTTACTTGTACTTTGTATGTGAAATTATATGTTTTCCTATAAATTACATTTTGGAGTTTGACAGTGTTCTACAATGAATTCCACATCTGTAGCAAATGAAATTTAAATCATTATCAAAAGCATTTCTTAGGATTTATTTGCTTAAGAAAGTAGAAGTGTCATTTCCCTAGAATAGACTAAAAATACAAATTAAATTTATAGAATTCTATTTCAAATAGGATTTAACTACTTAACACTGAATAGGCCAGCACAAAGGCTGGAAAAGTCACTTCTTGTTTGCATCATGGTGACTGATTTTCATACCTGGGCAAGAAAGCACAGCCTAAATGCTCATACCTTCTATTACTTATTTCTTACAAGTGCAAGTTGCTAAATTGTCAGTCATGGACAGCCGGGGACAGTACTGCTTTAGAATAACAGAGGCATCTGATGTGGATGCTACTTAAAATAGTTTAAATTTTCACTTACCTCCACTGCTACTACAATCAAAATGAGGTCTGTTTTTGACTCTGGAAAGACTGCATTCACTTGAGGTGACATTCCAATCAGAGCACAGTTTGTGACCACAGATATAACACTCATTGTTTCAAAAGCCAACTAAAAGAAAAAAGAATATGAAATTTAAAACTGCAATGAATGTTTCTACATTTCCTCACCTTTTTCGTATTATCTAAAAATCAAGGAAAAAGTCTTACCCTAGTTCTAAACATTCCAAGTATATTTTAAACTTTTTTCTCTGTCATGCTATGATTTTCTTTAGCTGAAAAAAGCCATACTGTTAGAAAGTATTTTAGATACTTTTGGCTTGAATATCCCAAAGCAGTATGTTCTACCTTCCTAATTGGAGGCAGCCAGGGACTGAATTTGGAATACTGTTAAAGTTACTCTACTCATATTCTAATGGAAATCTAAAGTAGGGCTGCCACAGAAAATGTTTCATGTTCAAAAACATGTAAAGTTTCAAAAAGAATTGATGTCATGCAGCCGTCCTTTTACTCTGACAGATCACACACCAGATCTCGTTCGCTAAAACTAGCTTTATAACCAAGGCACCAGTTATAAACAGTGATTCCTTCCTAGCAGCATTTACCAAATCACCTGTAGAACTACAGAAGCTAGGCCCCACTAAGACCTACTAAACAGACTCTGATCCAGGATCCTGTGAAGGAGACTTTGGTGCATACTACTGAGGATGGATGTAGAAATGTTGTGACCATTGCTTTTTTTGTTTTAAATATAAAGTACTTGATGATCACTACTTGATAACTTAACCACTAATTCCAAGAAACACAATTACTATTAGAAACATAAATTTTAAGAGAAGTGAAACAAAAGATGATTGAATCCAAACTTAATTCATGTATCTCCTCCCATGGAAAATTTCTGCCATCTTATAATTTAGAAATCCTTTGTGTCATCTGATGATTTTCCCATAGTTTTCTTCACAACAAACCTACTCGAGACTTTCTTTACCTTCTCTCTATATAGCTTAAAATTTCTATTTACTTGCTTTTGATACATTCATATAGTTTAAAAATCAAAAGTTCTAAGTATATAGTAAAGAAGGAATCTCTTTGTTCCTTTGTCCCCTTTTCTCCCACTTCCCAGCTACTGCTCCTAAAAAATAACCACTATTGCTAATTTCTTATGTACCTTTCCAGACACTTTGTATGCAAACGAATGTATACACTCTTTCTTACTCCCTTTTCAAGATAATACACACGGTCAGGCCCCTTGCTTTTGTCATTTAAAGTGTCTTGAAGGACTTTCTGTGTCAGTAGTAAAGGAGTTCCCCCATTCTTTGTCACAACTGCTTAAGTATTTTATTGCATGGATGTACCAGGATTCACTTAACCATTTTCTTTATTGGTGAGCATTTAGCTGCTATGACAAACAATGCTACAATTAGTAACCTAATATGTACATCGTTTAATAAGAGTAGAAGTAGGCTAAATTCCTAAAAGTGAAATGGCTAAATTAAGGGGGACATGCATTTGTAATCCGATAGATAACCAAGCTGCACTCCACAGGGTTGATCAGTTCACACTTCCACCAGCAACATATTAGAGTGCCTGGCTTCCTGATCTTGCAATTTGTTTGTAACTAAACTTTCAGGGTTGGTTTGTTTTTTATTTTAATCACCTATATTGAGTTATAATTTACATACAATAAACTGAATTCATTTAAGGTACACACTTTATTAGGTTTTGATAGGTATATTCACCTGTAAAACCACCACCACACATAAGATGCAGAACATTTCCATTTCCCCCAAAAGATTCCTCAGGCCCCTTTGCAATCCATCCCTCTCTTTACAACTGGTCCTAAGCAAACACCAATCTGCTTTTTGTCAATACAGATTAGTTTGCATTTTCCAGAATTTGATATAACTGGAATCATACAGTATATATTCTTTTGTGTCTGCTTTTTTCACTTGGCATAATGATTTAGATATTGATCTGTGTTGTATGTATTCATTCCTTTTTTACTGTTGAGTAGTGTTCCATTTTATGAATATATCAGAATTTTTCTTATCCATTTATCTATTGACACCAAATTGGGTCGATCCAGTTTGGGACTATTGTGAATAAAGTTGCTATGAACACTCCTGTGCAGGCTTTGTATGGAAATATCCTTTCATTTCTCCTGGCATTCTGTCTTCCCATTAGACCTCCACTGATACTTCCTTCGCTGGGAGAGGTACAAGTGCCTCATATGTGTTCCCATGTGGCCTCCACTGCGCAAGGTGCTGGTGAAAGTCCTTACATCCCACTAGAGTTCTTCTGAGACTGCCCCAGCAGGGACTAGAAAGAAAGCCTATTACTTCAGATAATAAGCAGAAGTCTAGGCTCCCTAGGTGGCCTCCACTGACACTGCAGCAAGGAGCATCTCGTTACTAGTTACTACCTGTTCAGATGAAGTCTCAGCTGGCTACTTTCCTAGAAAATTGTCAAAGTTTTACCTCTGAAATGGGTCCTTAGAGATTATATTTTACTCTTTCAACCCCCAAGAAAAGTGAGGCCAGAGAAAGTTAATGACTGCTTAGGGTCACATAGCTAATAGCAAAACAAGGACTGAAATCCAGTTTCCTAAATCTCTCTTTAAGGTTTGCAGGTTTGCTTTTTTTTTTTTGGTCACAACACCTCCCTTATTTTTTACAGGAATACTTTTTTCTCAAATACTTACCTGCCATACACCAATACTGGCTGAAGGTTCTGAGAACGAACGTTTGAAGACCCTGCACATTTTTAAGGCATCTGAATTGACTTCAGTGAAGTTATTTAACACAGCAAAGGCAGCTGCTAATGGATAAACACAGGAGAAAAGGCTCACATAACCAAACTGCAGGAATAACTCCAAGTAATCATCGAAGGTACCCTGAAAATATAACCAAGAAAGCATGCACTGTTTTAATATCATAGGATAGGAATATTCTTTTGCAATATTATTTAAGGCATTGGCCTCTAACTATTCAAAAAGCCCTCAAAGAGTTTCCCCCAATTCTTTCTTCTCAACCACAAAATTTACTTAAATTCAAAGGCAATTTTATATTAAGTTTCTGAAATAAAGAATGAAAAATGACATAGCTGAACATTTGTGCAAAATCACTGAATTACTAGATTTTTTCCTTCAGTAAACAGCAAAGCTAAAGATGTTTGCTCTTGACCAACTAAGAAGAATGATCCAGTATCATTGTTAGAGATCTTTTATGATGTCCCCCTCACATCATGAGCACCCCAGAATGTCATTCCCTCATGCTCCATTAAAAAATTGATGGTGGTGGCACCAGTGAAAATGGTAGAGTAATGACCACCAAAATTTGACCCCTCCATAAAAGCAATATTAAAAAACCCAATTAAATTTGTCAGAATCAACTTTTTTAGTACTCTGGAAACTAACCAAAGAGTTGCAGCAACTTAAGCAGCATTTAGTCAAGAAAAACAGCTGAATTTTGTAGTATTTTAACTTACTTTGGTCTCTGTGGCAGCTTTGAAACATAATACCATGCAGGAGGAACACAGTATTAGGGAAACAGAATGGGGCTGAAAATCTTTGAAAGACTTATTCCCACAGAAAGTCATTATCTGACCTGACTGGTGGTACTCTAAAAGAACCAAGTCAAAAGCCTGTCTTAATTCAACCTCACAGAGTCTCCCCCATGCTAAAGGCTTCTCCCTGGGGATGTCAGTCAAATGTTCTAACATAATGTCTGCCTGATGGGTAGCAGCTGGGGCAAATAATGAACGAGCTAGGGAGCTGAAACGAAAACCTGAGGGATAAGATGTTCATAGGTGATTTGAAGCACCAACATTTTCCTGGAAATCTGGAAGATCAGGCACAGGCATAGGATCGTGCACATGCTCAGGAAAGATCTGAGACGGCTCTAAGATCTCACACCTCTAACTGACCTTAAGGGTCTTTGACAGCAGGAAATAAATGCTAAGGCAAAGTTTTAAACTTCCTGGCTGAGCATTGATAGCATGGCCCAACAACAACAAAAGAGGGACCTACCATACAGCTATAGAACATTCAACCCAATAAAAGAATATACATTATTCTCAAATGTATATAAAACATTTTCCAAAATATGTGATATGTTAGATGAAATAAATTTGAAAGGTTTAAAATAATACAAAGTATTTTCTCTGACCACGATCAAATGAACCTGGAAATTAATAACAAGAAATTTGGGAAATTCACAAATACATGGAAATTGAGTGTATATTTCCAAAAAAAACTTACGAGGCAAAGAAGAAATCACACAAGATATCAGAACATAATTTAAGATGAATGAAAATGAAGACACAGCATACCAAAGCTTACGGGATGCCACAAAAGCAGTGGTCAGCAGGAAATTTATGGCTGTAAATGCCTCTGTTAAAAAAAAGGATCTCAAGCCGGGCGCAGTGGCTCACGCCTGTAATCCTAGCACTCTGGGAGGCCAAAGCGGGCAAATCATTTGAGCTCGGGAGTTTGAGATCAGCCTGAGCAAGAGCGAGACCCCATCGCTACTAAAAAAAATAGAAAAAAATTAGCTGGACAACTAAAAAATATATATAGAAAAAATTAGCCGGGCATGGTGGCGCATGCCTGTAGTCCCAACTACTCGGGAGGCTGAGGCAGTAGGATTGCTTGAGCCCAGGAGTTTGAGGTTGCTGTGAGCTAGACTGATGCCACGGCACTCTAGCCAGGGCAACAGAGTGAGACTCTGTCTCAAAAAAAAAAAAAAAAAGAGATCTCAAAACAACCTAAATTTCCACCTTAAGAAGCCTGAGTAAACTAAATCCAAAGCAAGCAGAAGGAAATAAATAATAAATACCAGAGTGCAAATAAATAATATGAAAGTAGAAAAACAACAGAGAGGATCAAAAGTTGGTTCTTTAAAAACACGAGGATAAAAAGAGATAAATCACTACCTGGACTGTGTAAGAGAAAAAGAGAAAAGACTCAAATTACTAAAATCAAAAATGAAAGAGGGGAGATTACTACTGGTTTTACAAGGGAGAAAAGGGAATATAAGGTAATTCGATAAACAACTGTATGCCAAAAATAAATAACAGATGAAATGGGCAAATTTGTGACTCAAGAAGAAATAAGGGCCAGGCACAGTGGCTCACACCTGTAATCCCAGCACTTTGGGAGGTCAAGGTAGGAGGATCACTTGAGGCTAGGAATTCAAGACCTGGGCAACACAGTGAGATGCCATCTCCACACACACACACACACACAGACACACACAAATTAGCCAAGTGTGGTGGTGCATGCCTATAGTTCCAGCTACTTGGGGGCTAAGGTGGGAGGATTATTTGAGCCCAGGAGTTCAAGGCTGCAGCGAGTTATGATGGCACCACTGCACTCTAGCCTAGACTAACACACACCAATTCTTTTTAAACTATTACAAAAAATTGAAGAGAATTCTTAATTCATTATATGAGACCAGCATTACCCTGATACCGGAACGAGACAAGGGCACAACAAGAAAAGAAAACTAAGGGTATTGTCCCTGATGCAAAAGACTTCAACAAAATACTGGCAAACTAAATGCGACAACATATCAAAAAGATAATCCACCATGATCAGGTAGAAGTTATCCCAGGGATGCAAGGATGGTTCAACATATGCAAAGCAATAAATGTGATACATCACATCAACAGAATGAAGACAAAAACCATATGATCATCTCAATAGACACAGAAAAAGCACTGGATAAAATTCAACATCCCTTCATAATAAAAACTCTCAACATATTAGGCATAGAAGGAACATACCTCAACACAGTAAGGGCCACATCTTACATATCCACAGCTAACATCATACTCAATGGGGAAAAGCTGAAAGCCTTTTCCTCTAAGAACTGGAAAAAGACAATGATGCCCACTTTCACTATTCTTATTTAACATAGTCCTGGAATTCCTAGTCAGAGCAATTAGGCGAAAGAAAGCAGTAAAGGGCATCCAAATTGGAAAACAAGAAGTCACACTGTCCATGTTTGCAGATGAAATTATCTTATATATAGGAAAACCTAAAGACTCTACCAAAGAAACTCAGAACTGATAAACAAATTCAGTACAGTTGCAGGATAGAAAATAAACATACAAAAACCAGTAGCATTTCTATTATATATACCAATAACGAACTAGCTAAAAAAGAAATCAAGAAAGCAATCCCATTTACAATAGCTACAAAAAAATTAAATACCTAGCAATAAATTTAACCAAGGAGGTGAAAGACATCCATAATGAAAACTACAAACTACTGATGAAAGAAACCGAAGAGAATATAAACAAATGGAAAGACATCCCATACTCATGAATTGGAAGAATATTGTTAAAATGATCATACTACCCACAGCAATCTACTGATTTCAATACTATCCTTATCAAAATACCAATGACATTCTTCAGAGAAATAGAACAAACAATACTAAAATTTATACAGAACCACAAAAGATACCAAATAGCCAAAGCAATCCCGAGCAAAAACAACAAAGCTAGAGGCACTACACTACCTGACTTCAAAATATACTACAAAGCTATAGTAACAAAAACACCATGGAATTGGAATACAAATAGCCACACAGACCAGTCAAACAGAGTAGAGAACACAGAAATAAATCCATGTATATACAGGCAACTGATTTTCAACAAAGGCACCAAAAACATATGTTGGGGAAAGGATAGTCTCTACAATAAATGGTGCTGGGAAAACTGGATATCATTATGCAAAAAAAATGAAATTAGACTCCTATCTATCATCATATACAAAAAAATCAACTCAAAATGGATTAAAGACTTAAGTATAAGACCTGAACCTATAAAACTACTAGAAAAAAACATAGGGGAAACTCTTCAGGACCTTGGTCTAGGGAGGCAAAGATTTTATGGCTAAGACCTCAAAAGCACAGGCAACAAAAACAAAAATAGACAAATGGAACTATAACACTAAACTGCAAACTAAAAAACTATACACCAAAAAGCTTCTGCATAGCAAAGGAAAAATCCACAGAGTGAAGAAACAATATGTAGAATGGGAGACACATTTGCAAACTATTTGTCTTAGTCCATTTATGTTGCTATAAAGGAATACCTGAGGCTGGGTAATTTATAATACAAAGTAATTTATTTGCCTCGCAGTTCTGTAGGGTGTACAAGAAGCATGGCACCAACAGCTGCTTCTGGTGAGGGCCTCAGGAAGCTTCCACTCATGGCAGAAGGTGAAGGGGAGCCAGCTGTGCATTGTCACATGGCAAAGGAGGAAAGCAAGGGCAGGAGGTGCCAAGTTCTTTTTAACAACCAGCTGTCACAAGAACTAACAGAGCAAGAACTTACTCATTACTGCAAGAACACCACCAAGCCATTTAGGAGGGATCTGCCCTCATGACCCAACACCTCCCATTAGACACCCCTGCCAACACTGGGGATCAAATTTCAACATGAGATTTGGGGGGAACAAACATCTAAACTATAGCACCATTCATCTGACAAGAGACTAATATTCAGAATATACAAGGAATTGAACTCAACAATAACCAAAAAAAATAATCCAATTAAAAAGTGGGTGAAGCATCTGAACGGCCATTTCTCAAAAGAAGATATACAAATGGCCAAAAAATATGTGAAAAAATGCTCAACATTATTAATCATCAGAGAAATGCAAATCAAAACTACAATGAGATATAATCTCATCCTAGTTAGAATGTCTATTATCAGAAAGACAAAAATAACAAAAACTGGCAAGGATGCAGAGAAAAGGGAACTTTTTATATACCGTTGGAGGGAATGTAAATTAGTATAGCCATTAGGGAAAATGGTGTGGAAGTTTCTGAAAAACTAAAACCAGAAATACCATATGATCTAGTAATTCTACTACTGGGTATT